GGGCTTCTACTCACGCCGAGTCTTGGATCCTGGGTCGTCTCTGGTCTGCAAACTGCATGATGAAGATGTCCGCTCCTTGTCGGTTCTTGCTGGTGTTGAGTAGAATCCGCTCACCCGCTGCATCTGGCTCCTTCGTCCCGGACTCTCTGTGGCTCAGGTTTGGGTGCCCTGCGGTTGCTGCCGCGATCCTGCCGCCGTGGCAGCGGCTGCTGGCATGCGCTCAGATGTGTCTCCTTGCCTTGGCTTCCCCTCTCTTGCTTAACTCTCTGTCCTGTGATGGCACACTTGGTGTGATTCTCTGGCTTAGGACTGTTCACTGGAACTCTAAAACTGCTTTCTATTCGAGAGCTTGTTCAGATTCCAGCTTCTCCTCCGCCATCTTCCCGGAACCCCCCCTGTGTTGTCTCTTAATACCCAGATCCTTGCCACTGATTTGACATCGCTGGGCTAGGAAGTTGCCTGGAGACTAGGATTTTACAAGTCTATTGTGGAGGTCTATGATGGTGTGCTCAGATAGAGAACAGGTGTCCGCATGCATGCATGCATGCACATGTGTGTGTATGTGAAGTGCATGCATGAATTGCTAAGGAAGCCCTGCCTACCTTTCCTGATTTTTCCCTCTCATCTTTTGTGCATTGCCCATCATTTCTAGCCCATTTCTGCGGGACTCTGTCAAATTTCCCCATTAGATTGTGTAGTCCCTGACAACTGATAAAATCAGACAGATATACAATTGCTTTTAAACCAGATTCAAGTTTCAGATTTGTGGCTAAATGAGACAGAGATAAAGCTAATAGTCAAAAAAGGTAACTTAAAATCCAGGCACATCTGAGTTTGGAACCAAGCTGATACACAGATATTCTAGAAGGATCCCTAAGCCCAACTCCCATTTGGTCTTGCCCAATGGAGTGAGGAAAATCATTAAAGTAAATACATTCTTCCTCATAAAGTTAGCCACTAGCAGGGTCACACCGGCCTGTGTCACTGCAGTGTCACCGTGCGTGCTTAACTCGTGGGCAAACCCAGGCTTCTAGTAAGTTCTCACATGTCTCTACAAATGAACTCCATCCTGGGAACTGAGTAAATTATTAGTCCTCTACACATAGCAGCCCAGTGGTTCTCCAACTCTAGTCCATGTTAGAATCCCACAGAGGCTGCTAAAGGAGAATTGTCCAGTTCCCACCAAGGGTTTCCACTCAGTAGCCATGAGGATGAGGCCTGAGAATGGGCATTTCCATCAGGTTCCCAGGAGAGGCATAGTTTGAGGACTGGACTTGGTCTTTTTTGTCCTTGGACCAGCAGTGTCAGCACTACCTGAGACTACTCCAAACCAGCTGTGCTGCGAATGTCTGGGTGAGCCTAGACACCAGGCAAGCCTACTCCTTACTGCCAAAGAAAGGAAACAACTGCTCCAAAGTGACTAGTAGACCATTAGAGATGATGGGATGGAAATAACCTGCCACAGGTTACTCAGCACCAAGCCAGGTTCACCAGAGTACAGGCCAGTGCTGTCCCAGGCTGCGAAGTTCTTTATCATCTGTTGATTCTCAAAACACGTCTTGAGGCTAAATTCAAAAAAAGCATCTGTTTGAGTTGTTGTACGGTTTACTTGGAGTCCTGCTCTATTTATGTACATTCTTTCAGAATATTTAAGCAGTAAAATGTAGGTTTAGGCTGTATTTTTTTCTCTTAATAACAAAACTGTAGGCTATAATTTATTCTGATTTCCTTGGATTTTCCTAAGATCCTCTTTCTGTCTCAACATTGCATCCAAGCTCACATTAGTCATCGTGTCTGTTAGGTTTTCCTGGAAGAATTTCTTAGACTTCCAAGACCTTGATGTTTTTGACATGCATCCGCAGGTTATTTCATAGAACGTCTTCCATCTGGAATCTATCTGATGATGTCACTCAGATAGTCAGTTCTGATTAGACCGCCATTAAGATCATGTGGGTTTAGAAGGAAGACTACTGACTTAAACCACAACTTCCATCAAATCCTATCCAAGTCACGTGCTACCAATGTGGCTGTCCTGGCTGGTGTTGACCTTGATCACATGGCTGAGGTGGTGCTTGTTGGTTTTTCTCCTGGGAAGCTGCTCCTGATCTCCCCCTTGCATCCGCCTTCCTTGGAAGGAAACCACTATGGGAAGCCATGTTTACAAGAGGGGGAGAGAAGCTTTGCCTCTTTGAGGAGAGAAATGATTTGGAATTCTCTGTGTCTCTCGGCTCTGTCTACTCCTTTGATCATTTATTGTGATTAGCGTGGACTCGCGAGCATTTGTTTCTACTTTGGGTTATAATATCGAATACTTCTTTATTTTGTTGTTCTCACTGTTCTGTCTCTGGCCCTTCAATTTCACTTGGCATCTGTGTGTCTTTGACACCAAACTGGTGTGTTTTTGTTTTGGTTTGCTTTTGAGCACTCCCTTGCTTTCTAGCATTAATTACAAGATGCTCCTGGCTCATCTTGTTATAGCTTCTGTCCCAGTACTAGAGGAAGCTTTCCCCTGCCCTCCTCCCCCCCCCCAAAAAAAAAGTCATGGCTTCTTTTCTAGGAGAATATTACTAGGAAATAAGACCTAGCTGGGTACCGGTGGCTCAAGCTGGACACCGGTGTCTCACGCCTGTAAATCCTAGCTACTCGGGAGGCTGAGTTCTGAGGATTGCGGTTCAAAGCCAGCCCAGGCAGGAAAGTCCGTGAGACTCTTATCTCCAATAAAAACCACTAGAAAACCGGAAGTGGCACATTGGCTTAAACGGTAGAGTGCTCACCTTGAGCTGAAGAACACAGGGACAGCGCCTAAGCCCAGAGTTCAAGCCCCATGACCGACAAAAAGAAAAAAGAAAAAGAAATAAGACCTGGTGGCTGGGGTGCATACTGCGACCAGAGTCTCTTTGCTTCTAGGCTCTCAGAGGACAGAGCAAGGAAGGTTCGTTTGTATCTCTGAACATACATGTACATGCATATCTGTTCTATAGTTAGATAGACAAGACTTCATGCTGACATCTCCAACTCAAGTAATCAACACTCTGCTTCATCCTAATTGTATTTGCCAACAGTAAGAACTCTAGCTCTGACCTTCTGCCATCTCTTTAGTTTGTTTAATCCTAGTGCATATGGTTTTAGGCTTGTCAACCTTTAGAATACAGTGATTATGAATATCTCCTTGGTCTTTAGGTCTGTGGTCTTACTGCAGAAATTCAGTCAGTCAGCACCTTTTCTCCTCTTCAATAAAGATATGTAATGTGTCTAGAGTTCAGCTACATCCATTTTTCATGATCTGTATTCTATCTCCGGGTTGTAGTATCTTCAAGTTGGCACTCCTTTAAGGTTGTTGTGTTGTGAAATGATTGGTGGGTCTGTGATTATAGTGTTGTACAGAGGTGCTCCCTTCCCCAAACCCTCATATTTTACCTAGTCAGCCCTCTCTCCTCCCTAGACCTTCATCTACCTTTGATCTGCTTTCTGTCTTTTCCAGGCTGCAGACACAGAATAATACAGTGTATTATAGATTTTACAGACTGCCTTTTTTTTTTCTTTTGGTCAGTCATGGGGCTTGAACTCTGGGCTTGGGAGCTGTCCCTGTGTTCTTCAGTTCAAGTGCTTTACCACTTGTGCTACAGTGCCATTTCTGATTTTATAGTGGTTTATTGGAGATAAGGGGGGGAGGATTGGGTGGAGAGGGGGGGGTGCGGGGGGAGGATGGGAAGGGACGGGAAGGGAAAACAAAGGAGGAGGCTAGAGTCTCATGGACTTTCCTGCCCAGGCGGGCTTTGATCCTTAATCCTCAGATCTCAGTTTCCTGAGTAGCTAGGATTAGAGGTGTGACCCTCCGGCACCTGGCTTGCCTTCTCTTTCTTAATGTATATAGCTTATATTCAAGATTCATCCATATCACGGGCCATTCAGTTTCAATTGGCATCTGTGTATCTTTGACACAAATTGGTGTGTTTTTATTTTATCACAGTACCTTATACTAAAGTATGTCTGCATTATTTTCAAAGCATTATTTTCTTTTACAAACTCTGGGTTAACAGATGTTGGTAGAAGCCAGCGAGGAAGGAAAGATGGTTTACAAGCTTGGGCAGAGGTCAAACATGGTAGTGCTGTTTATTATCTGTTAAAATTGCTTTATGTAATGTAGTACTTGGAAGGAAAGATTGCCTGATTCAGGGGATTTTCACCACCAAGTACTTGTCCATTCTTGAAATCAGGATTTCAAGAATGAGTCATTTCAAGAAAAACTCAATCAAAAATTCCGATTTAGAAACTGATAAACTAAAAAATGTTTCTAGTTTTTAAATCAAACGCTTCATTTTTCTAGCTGAAAAGTATCTGTTAAGATATCCAGACTTCTCTGGAGTTCTAAGCTGTTCCATTTATTTAAAAATTCAGTTTACAAATTTCAAGAGCACAATGACTGTTTGAAGGGAAGGGTAGCAAATGGCGAAACACAGACATTTGGTTACCTAAACTCCAAGTGAATTTCAGAAATCATCAGGCGAATCAAAGACCCCAGGACATCTGTCCCACTGCGACCGTCCCTGTCTGAGGAGAAAGGCAGCGAAAAGATCGTAGTCCTGGTGAGGGCGTGCTGGGATGAGTCCCCACAGAAAAGACCCCCTCTCCCTTCCATCAAGAAGATGCTGCGAGAAGCCAGTCCCAAAGGGTGAGTGGATGCAGCGGTCTATTGTCAGCTCTTCTTTAGGGGAGGGGAATGTTCTCGTGGACCTTGACCTGGAGTTGGGCCTCATGGTGGCCCCATGGTTCTTGGTAGAAGACAATAACATCCGAGTTCTTTTAAAGCCATGTGAGCATACTAGATGGTATGCTGGGCAAGCTGGAAGTGTATGCTAACCACCTGGAGGAAGTGATAGAAGAGAAGACCAGCCAGCTGAGGGCAGAAAAGAGAAAGGTGGAGAAGCTTCTGTGCACAATGTTGCCCAGGTATTCTGGGAGAAACTTGGTGGGAAGGGGTGGGGAGATGGGAACAAGGGGAGAAGAACAGAGTGATTGTCGACTAGTTTCAAGTGCAGGAATTATTTCCAGTGTTATTTACCTAAAGTGGTGCTAAACTCTTCTGAACTGGGCAAAGATTTTTTTTAAATTTAGTACAATTTGCTAAGGGAAATAGAGGCAACCCCCCCGCCCCCCGGAATCTATCTATAGGAATCCTAAGTGTAGTAGTTTGTCATGTGGGAGGTAGTAGAAACAACAATGGTAAAGCCGCCACTAGATGGCACTCGACTCTCACGAGTCTGATAAATTACTAACATTACAATTGTTACCTTTGCATAGCACAGTATGTACCCCATCCCTCAGATTCAAATATTGCTTTGTTTTTTGGTTCTGTTTTCACCTATGCATTTTTAGAAGAAGCATTATACTAAATATTATACACAATCCTTAGTAGAAGCATTTGCTGTTAGAATTCATACACATGTATTTGCCTCGGGGTCAACGAAGAGGGGTAGGGATTTGACTGTGCTGATAATGTGAGATTGGTTGATGGACACAATATTGATTTGTGGATTGGTGAATGATTGCATTCACTTTCACATCTACACTTCAAATCTTCACCAGCTCTATAGCTAGAGGTGGAAAATGAGACATTTTCAATGAGAACCCCCTTTTTGTCTGACTATTCCCCGAGACTCATATCGACCAAGGTGAGCCCTTCTTTAGAGAAAATACAGGTAATGACTGGAGGTTAAAGGAATTCCTCCAGATGATAGGTTTTGCTAACCGAACACCTAGCCCTGCCAAGACAAAGGACCTAGGAAGGCAGCTTTGTAGGAACTCTGAAGAGGATGAGAAATACAAGATCCTGTTTAGAAACAACCTCTTCCTCTGGTTTCAGCTTCATTGCAGAACAACTCATAGCTGGAGAGTCGGTGGAACCAGAACATTTTGAGTCCGTGACGATTTTCTTCTCAGACATCGTCGGATTCACAAAACTGTGTTCTCTCAGCTCTCCCTTGCAAGTCGTGAAGCTCCTTAATGACCTGTACAGTTTGTTTGATCACATCATACAAACCTATGATGTGTATAAGGTGAGGCTTTCGGTTTTGGACTGTGAGGAATGTGTGTTCTTTGTTAGCCATTGCTAGGGCCTGATTGAGGTGCCCTCCCTCACCGCCCCCTCCCCACCATAAGCAGGGAGAAAGACCCCATTCCATCCTGGCTGTTCATCTGCATTCATGGCAAAGATTCCTTATGCTATTCCTGCTTGTCTTCTTGGAAGAGGGTTTGAATACTCATGGATGCATGTGCTTGTCTAGAGCCACATTTGCTCCCTTCCATTATTTGAACCTCTCAGTAAATGAATCTCTAAAGAGGCCTTAATTAACCTTCTGCTGAATAACTCCTCCTTTTTCCTCCCAAACAGGCTTCCTCCATGTATGGAGAAGCTTTCAAAGATGCCTTTGCATCCAGTGCAGGTCTTGCTTCTGTTGTGATGATCCTTAGCAAAATTCAGGGTAATGAGAGACTTGTTAAAGGGAGAATCTAAAGGGGAGGTGGTAACAGTCACCTGACTGGCACACTACTAAGGAGAACGATGAATGTGGTTACCCAGAGTGAAGAAGAGTCTAGGAGGACAGCAGAGCAGCAACAGCCTGACTTTATTCGCGTGGTGAGCAGAGAGCTGTGTTGTGTTCATTCTCCGACTTTTCCAGTGGAGTCAGACCGGGGCTTGTGGGACAGCGCCATAGGATCATGTTCACACTTACCCGGTGGGCAGTCTCCACTGCACCTGCTCCGACCGTGATCCCAGGTCTCTGCCTGGGAGAGTTGGAGAGCAAAGGGGACATATCCCGGTTAGCCCCTAGCATCCATGACAAACAAGCGTGAAAGGGTGGGATGCATCATCCAGGCCCAACAATAACTGAACCCACCCTGCCTGGGACAGCACCACCTGAGGTTTCCCATTGGGAGTTGCTTTTCCAGTGATGCTTTGTGTGTATGGATATTACAGCTGGTTTGTAATGTCTCATGGTACAGAAAAGTGGCCCAGAAGCAGATTAGAATTGTCCAATCATTGACATTATTATTATTATTTTGTAATTTCGGGGTCACCATCAGCTTCAAGCTAGTGCTTGAAATCACAGCTTCCCATGTCATCTCTTGTATTCTACCAAATACAGTTCTATCTGCAAAAGGTTGAGCACTAAGCTTCTGCTTATCATTGGCTTCTCTTGTTGTGGTGGAGGATCTGAAAGCTGATCTTATGTAAGGGATTGTGGGATAAGGGGCTGTCTCTATACATATCAATATGGTATGTGTGGTGTGTGACTGCATGGAGCCCTTGTTGAGAGTGAAATGGTTTCTCCTTGCTGTCTGGCTAGCAGGTGCTGGCCTTGGGCTGGGGAAATAGGCTCAGATTTTGAAGGCCCACCCAGTGGCTGTGGTGAGGAGGGCTCGGGAGCAGAAGGCTTTTTCAAGGTATGAGGAAGAGACCAGACGTGAACTCGTGTGGGTTAGAGGTCAGCGAGTGTGATGCTCAAAGTCAGGGTTGGTAATGACCCTACTTCCATCTCCCTCTACCCACCATCTCCCTCAGGGAAGAGTACGTTGGCTCTGTCACTGTGCTTTCAGGTGGAAACCATTGGAGACGCATACATGGTGGCCAGCGGGCTGCCCATTCGCAATGGCAGCCGGCATGTGCAGGAGATTGCCACCATGGCCTTACACGTCCTCAGTGCCACCATCCACTTCCAGATCGGACACATGCCTGAGGAGAAGCTCAAGCTCCGGATCGGGCTCCACACAGGTATTCAGAACAGAGGGCAGGTGGCCTTGGAACAAAGGCCTCTGAATGGCGGCTGGAAGGGAGGGTTTGCCCCCCCCCTCGTCCTGGGCCTGCAGTCATTGAAAGGTAGCAACCTCAGGTGATGTCTTTGTGCATGTATTTCTGGTTAGCTGAGTGGCATGGTAGAAATAAGGACACATAGTGAGTCAGACATGTTTTGAGACAAAAGTAAAGAGGACAAAAAGCAGGACAGGTCTCTTGGGTTGTTTTTCTTTCATGTGTCCGTGTCAAAGTCTCCTTGGTGAGTTCTCTTTTGATCAAAGCGTAGGCATGAGGCCTGTGTAGTACAAAACCTACTTGGTTTAATACTTTTTCTGTCACTGTTTTGAAATTCTTAAAACTTTCTGAGCAGAGAGCCTGATATTCTTCACTTTGTACTAGGCCTTGAAAATGATGCACTGGGTGCCCCCTCCTCCCTGACCTTCACGACTCCACAGACGTGAAACCTGATTTCCCGCCAGCATTAAATAGTCCCACGTTGGTGCTTTCATTAGGCTTTCTTGACATCTGTAGTTCATGTATAACATGATGACATGGTCATTCATGCATTGATTCTGAGTTTTCCTCAGGAAGGAAGTGGGGCTCTCTCCTTTGCTCTATGGAAACACCAAATGTAGTATCAAGTTCTGCCACAAGAGGGCACTTGTTGAATATTTATTGACTGTCTTTGTTGGCTTGCTATGCAGCCAGGAGTCTAGCGGTGGAAATACCAATAGTCAGGCTCATGAATTCTTCCCTCCATAGGCCCTGTGGTTGCTGGCGTAGTAGGAATCACCATGCCCAGATACTGTCTGTTCGGAGACACTGTGAACATGGCATCCAGGATGGAAAGCAGCAGTTTGCGTGGGTATCACTTTACAGTTCTCGCTGAAGGAGAACGCAGCAATGGCTGCCCCTTCTGGCTCTCATCTTTAAGCAGAAGATGTTTGTAGAGGACACATTTGCATTTGTATATCCAGTTTCTTGTCACTTCTCTGGAAGATAAGATCAGCATCTGCATGAGACCACACCAATCATAAGCTGTACAGACAGGGTTTTACACTGCGTTCTCATGGGAATTATGTAAACAAGCATGGCCTCCTCCTTCCAAGACTTTCTCCTTTAAACAAATATACACACACAAAGAAATCAGTTAAACAAAAGAGGAGGAGTTGAGAAGATTTTCTGCATGAGGTTATTGCCCACAGAGTAACTATTTAACTTTACTGTTGTATCTTATAAGCAACTGTAGAAACAAGTGAATGAATGAACACAGCCACATCCCAATATAACTTTATTTGCAAACAATACAAATGCATGAAGAGTAGGCCAGATATGGTGGTAATTTTCTTTACCCTGATGTACAGTATATTGCTGGTGCAGCACAAGCTATATGACTAAGAACTCCAAGAATAGATCACATTCTTCTTGCTTTATAATAAATTCATTGTGTTGACTATCACTAGATACATGAATGTTATTTATCAATGGAGAAACAGAAAAAAGAATTAATAATTTGAGTTTTGAAGAGTTTGTATGTTAACACTGTTTAGAATTTATAGATCACACACAAACACATACATACAAATTGTCTCCCTCTGATGACTTCATTGTCTAAGTTAACCAACCACAACAAGTATAGATTCAAACCCTCTGTTAGTTTGTAAGGAAAGATTTCCAGAACAAGTTCAGAAGGTGATTGTTTATGTAGCTTCTACACTTGATCACAGTTGCATTTTTAGCTACAGCCAACATTTTTTTTAATGTGTGGGTGCTGATTCTGGGGCTTGAACTACTCAGGCCTGGACACTATCCTAAAGCTGTTGTGTCCAACACTGGCACTCTACAACTTGAGTCACATCTCTATTTCCAGATTTTTGGTGGTTAATTGGAGATAAGAGTCTCATAGACTTTCCTGCAGGGCTGGCTTCTAATTTTGATCCTCAGATCTCAGCCTCCCGAGTAGCGAGGATTACAGGCGTGAGCCACTGGTGCCCAGCTTATAGCCAGTATTTTCAGCAATATGTCCCAGAGAATCCCTGGAAGTTTGAGGAGCGCAGGGACTCCCCGTCCTCAGGGATTGCCAGCACTGCCTTTTGTTGCGAAGCTGAACATGCTAAATTTGAGCAGGTCTCCCTGAGGAGGGTCCCCATAGTTTGTAATCCCAGCCTAAAGGGGCCCAGATTTCAGACATCCTTTGTGCTTTGTTTCATGAGAGGTCTGAGGGATCAAAGAACTGGCATGGGGAACTTCCCCATCCAAAGCAGCCTCCCCACACTGACTGCCTCTCTCCCCATGAGGTGATAAGTAGACAATGATTGGTTTCTGGCAGCCCTCCGGATCCATGTCTCTCAGAGCACTGCAGGAGCCCTGCTGACCACAGGAGGATATGCCTTGCAAAGGAGAGGCTCCATCCAAGTCAAGGTAAGACCCAGCCAGCTCTGTCTTACTCTCCCCATTAGGGTCCTGATGGACAGATGGAGGGAGGAATTCAGTGGGGAGAATAAATCTCCACATTGTGGTTCATGGGAGTCTCTTGGGAGTCTCAAACACTGCATCAGCTGCCTTTAGAGAGGGCTGGGAGGGCTCTCAGACATGGGATGTCCAACAGAAAACACATCAGCTAGCACCTTGACTGCCTCCTTACACAGGCCTCCTTTCTCTCCGCTACAATAGCCCTCAGCTCCCACCCAAGCACCCCCCTACAGCATCACCCACAAAGCAACAGCAAGCACCAGGATTGAAGATTCCTGAAGCCCGTGGGTTTGGTCTTGGAGAGCTTAGGAACACATCTGTACCTTCAACAACTACCTCATCCATTGACCTTCTCTGTCCTGCCATCTGTCTGTCATGGAAGCACAATCTGACACTAGGACACAGTCTTATCCTTCCCTTCTGATTGTCCTTCCCCAGGGTGAGGGAAGGGGCCAGCTGCTCTCCTTTGCCCCTCTTGGACATGCGTATAGGGGAGGTGGCTGGTCAGATGACACTGGCTGTTTGCACAGGGGGGGGAGGGGATGGGGAAGGATGGGGGTGGGGGTGGAAGGTGGGGGGCGTGGCAGCCCAGAGAAAGCAGTGAAGAGAAGCCAGCTTCCTTCCTTCCTTCCTGGTGTGCTGAGTGTGGCCTGGGTGTGTTGTAGTTCATCATCTGAGCTCAGGAATGCAGAAGACCTCTGTGAAAGGCCGCCATGGATGCCTAGATGGGAATCCTGTCCCATTCCGTCCTAGCTGACTGGTTTGGAGATTTGGTTTTGTCACCTCTAAAAAATATGGGGGGCTGGGAAGGTGGCTCAGTGGTAGAGCGCTTGCCTTGCATGCCTGAGGCCCTGGGTTTGATTCCTCAGCACCACATAAGCAAAAA